TTTTAAACAAGATAACATACACTAGAATCACAGTAGACAACAAACATCCAAATGAATTTATGGTAAAAATCAGTTGTAGCAAAGGCATAAGTAACCTAGGCTAAAGCTTATGTCTGATAGGCTAAAAGTAAAATGCATCATCCTGCCTTACCACAGATGTGAGGCAGTCACCATACCATTCAGAGGTGAAGCTGGGGATGCTCCACAGGTTTGGCTGTGCTGGTGATCGTGATCGACAGCAGGGGACCCAGAAACAGGATATAAATGAACAATGCATCATTACAGCTGGCCATCTGTATACAGCCTTTTCCTGAATAAGTCTTGGACAGTCATCTTTGCCCATGCCTGAACCATCACAGGGATACTTCCGCCACCTGAGTGATGAGTAAAGATCCCTTGTTGGGAGTGCTTCAAAAAGCCCCAGTCAGCAGATAATGCATGAAAAGGAAGGTTTGCTGGATGGATTACATAATTGGACCTAGGAGAGGACTCTCAGACACTAGGTACATGTACTCTGCAGGGAGCAGCAGAGTAAGTACTGTACATATTCCTAACCACTGTCACAATGATTATGAGTTCACATCAGTGTGAACTTCTGTATGACTTTGTAAGAGGTTTGAGATGTGATTTAAGGTATCCTCTGCTTTCAGCTATCCTGTGCGTCTTCTAAGCAAATACAGAGGATTATTAAACCCGGCCAAAGACAGATGCAGCTATAAAGTCATTACTTCCTACTTGTGGTGAAATTTCATTTAATATTCCCTGCACTGCACCATGGAACGCACTTAGAACTTCGATGTAACTTCCTATCCTGTGCACCAGAATTAACTGAAAATCTGTATGATACCTGACAACTCTAAACATATAATAACATTGGTCATAAATTTATACACATTATAGAAAAACTAAGGGGTACCTCAGTTCTTCACCCTCACCTTACTTTGCTTATTATCAACATTATCCTCTTTTTTTCAACACCATTCTTTTCACACACAGTGTCTTGTTCCATATCCCCACCCTGTACATGATTATTTACATTCTCCACTTCTACATGGGGGCTGGCAACACCATCGAGTACATTTTCCACAAAATTCCCTGTTTCTACCTGTGGATAGACATTCAAACCTAGGCTGGCACATGGTATCTTTTTCGTTTTAACAACATTTTTCGGCAAGGTTAATATTTTTTTCTTAGAACCTTGCCCCAGTGCATAGTTACATGCCTGTGTTTATTTTGCTGGAAGAGTTTCTCAGGTTGTGTTCAGTTGCATCACCATGAACTATAGCTTTGGTTACACATCGCTTAGGAAGGCTAAAAGTGATACTGGGCTGTTTAACTCTAGAGCTGGACCATTCTGCAAGCTCTATAAAACACAATCAAAGCAGACCACTTTTTCAAAGCTGTCAGTCACTGTGCTAAAAGCAAAATGTGGAAATGATTGTGAAATGTACTATTATCTGATTTGAGCATGGAATCATACCATGCACTGTGATCAAATTGGCTGAAGACATCTGTGGCTCTGTAATACATTTAGAAAATGTTTTGTTTACCATTCACTAATTACATGGATCTGATGGACTCAAAACCAAATGAAATACAGTGTATTATTACAGTGACAGGATTTGGTGCACCTCTATTTTGAGATCGCTTATCCTGCTCTTCTTTTCTGCACTTCCTTTTCTCAGTGCCCAATAGGTACACCCTTTTGTAGGACAGTGTATATTTGCCAGATGCAACTACATGATTTTAATTCTAAACCATTACAGCAAAGTTTGCACTGCAAGTAAGAGATCACTTGTAATGTTTCATTATTGTCTCTGCAACAGATGTTACAAATGAAACAGAATTATTACATCTGTTGTCCTGAGAGCATCCTTCACAGCTGCCCCCCAGAGGACACTTGTTAGTCTCATGTGTGCTTCAGTGAAAGCACCTCATGCATTTTTAAGCAGTTTGTGAAACTCCTTTCTGGTGCATGAGATGCTGGAGGTAAGATACAAACCTGCATGTAATCCTGCCTTTATTTTTCCTCTACCACTAGGTCTCCCTGTGCTGCTTTGTACAATGGGCCCTCAGCAGGCCCTGCACTCTTCATAGCTCCCTGATGTCTTTGGAGTATAATAGACCTTTTTTAACTCACGCTTGGTCATGTCTGGGCCAATTTTCTGCCCAGTCGACCTTCAAAAATGGATTTGAGTTTTAAAAGTACAGCATGATGCAATAACGAAGGGGAGTGGAGATGGTCCTGGGAAAATTACGCTAGAAAAAGGGGTGTGGTCACCTGTCAAAATGTTTGGTGATCTGTGTATTTACTCACTATTTGTGATTTCTGCTGCTGGGTTCATATGCTTGCATCTATTTATTTTTAAAACAATACACATATAGCTAAACAATCATTAACATTGGTACAGTATGATCGTCTGGTTATACAGTTAATATTTGATTGTGAACAGTTGTACTTTCTAGATAATTTACAATAATTAGTGGAAAGACTGGAATAGACAGTGAGTCTTGTGATAAAGATCACTGCAGCTCTAGGTGGATATTAATTTTACAGTTAAAAAGTGTTTCATGAAGAGAACATTAGAAGACATGAATGAACAGGCTAATCTTGTGATGCACCCCCAATGGAGAACATCAACATCTAACAAAATCTGAAAGAAAAGTTGATGAAATAGCTACCAGCAGAAAAAAAACAGACAAACATGAATGAAAAAGCACCAGGTACAATTAAAAATTCAGCAACAAATTCACTGATAATAAATTGTGTTAATTTACATTAACATTAACAATTTATTACATAAATTTTCAATGTATGTATTCATATCAGCTTATTTAAGGCCTTGTTTTTCAACAAATAATTTTACAGAAAATTAAACGTAAAAAATCTAATGTCACACGATGAAGTAGCAAAACTGGGTTCTAATGTTTGTGCTTATAATTTTATCTTTGAAGGTATCAAGGTTTAATCAGGCATTATATCAAATAATCTTACACTTACTAGCTAAAATATGAAGTCGACTGAATGCTTCAAATGAATGAAAAATGTGTGGTTGGTTTGAGAACATAAGACAAATTCTCCCCGGAGAAAACAATTCATCCCATATTGTCAGTCACACCGGAAACGTGAAATCGCAATTCACAAACACTCAACACATTAGTGCTCTATAGTTAGGTCACTTAAACTACTGTTCTTCTTTACCTTCATTTTTGTGACTGTGTGTAAAAAGTGTACATGTCAATAGTAATATTTATCCTTATATGATAAAAAGACAGAAGGGAAATGTCTGCTCATGGAAAATTCTAACCATCTGGTCTCGGGATAGTGAGCAAATCCTGGAAGAGACAGAGCAGAGCTGCACCTAGCCGTTGTAAAGAAATGCATGTATTGGATTTAGAATCCAATTTCGCTGGTCTGTCACTTCCCCCCTAACATATGAGGTGTGAGTCAGGGAGAAAATGCTGCAATGGCGATGCTGGGGTGGAGGGAGGAATCTTAGAAAAGAGCACTCTGGGCCATGTTGTACCGTATGCAGTTGAGTGGAAGTGCGTTTAACCTCCACCTGATAATATAAACTTAGTTTCGAATATCACTAGAAACTTTGTTTCATTTTCTCTAGAAACCTACAAGAGATAAAGATTTTTGTTAGAGATACACATTTTCATAAATCTTAGCTTTTTTTACCTTTATCTGAAAAAGTTGAAAATATTATTTGTATAATATTTCAGTGCATTCATTTGAAAATGCCAAAACATTTAAACAGATGTTACTTTTGGAGTAGCAGTAGTAGTTGCATGTCATTGTGATGAAGGTAGATTAGTTGTTGGCAGACAATCACTCCACAGTGAATTCTTCATAATCTATAATTATAAAGATTACAATCTTGAGTGATGCACGTAGATACAAGTTCTTTAAAAAATATTTCAGTGCCTTATATGATACCATTCAAATAATCATAAATTAAATGTTATACTAACCACACATTTTTGGAGCTTTATTGAATCTACAAAAGAAATAGCTGAGTGACACATTTGTTAATTTCAAAAGCAGCATTCACATTTATGTTTAAACAGTATTAAAGTTGATATTGAAGATGGCTCATTGCTTCTAGACGTTGCATTATTAAGAAATTAGGTATATTTATATATTCTGTAACACCTTCTAAGATTTCCAACAAAGGGCACAAGATATCCTAACTTGTAAACTTCACTGATTGCATGTACCAGGTATTCATAACTCTGTATCGTGTTATGTACAGCAATGTTGTATTTTCAGCATTAAATGAATCTTTACTTGCTTTTCACTTTTGCTCAGGTTCTTGTTTTACTATGTAGTCTTTATTCCTTTTTGTTTTTAAGCAATATCTCTAAGTACTTTAAATATGTCATTCAGATCCTCTTTTAATTCTCTATTTTCAAGATTATAAATATGAATGCCTTTAACCTGTCTCCATAAGACATACTGGACCTTTCAGACCAAGAGTAATTGTGGTTGCTCTTCCTTGAAATGTCATTACAAACTTTTCGTTGAACTTCTTATCATAACTTTACATGAGCCCTAAGATTGATTGCTTTACAGTATACAGTTATCTGTTTTACTTACTGCTTTATAATGGATTAGGCAGAATTTGCCATATTCAATCATATGATAATTCCCGCTGTCCTACTGTAAGTGCCCATCAAATTTTGTTATGAACTATTGGAAAAATACATCGAATCATCTGATTCTTGTAATATTAATGCCTCTTTTATAACAAGATAGTTTTTAACAGTGCAGAGTCCTTTCTGAAATAAGAAATGATTAATTATACTTTTTTCAACCTCTACCCTTTATACACTTTATTTCTTCTGTTAATGCTAAAAATTATATTAAAGTTTGGTTTAGCTCTTTTCCTTGCCTGATACTGATACTACTACTACTACTACTAATAATAATAATAATAATAAAGCAATACTTTAGACTTCTAAAAATGTTTCACCATTTTGTTTGGATTTTGCAGAGATCTTCGATTCAACAGAATAAGAGAAATTACACCTGGAGCATTTAAGAAGATGAAGAATTTAAACACTTTGTAAGTAATAGTAGAAAGAAGAATAATATAATCTTATCTCCTTCACATAATGTCTGTTTCTGTAGAAGATCCTGTTGCCTGGTGTATTTGAGAAATAGAAAAGGTAAGTTTACAGGAAGTCTGAAATATGATGTTTCAATTTGCTTCAGTTCTGAGTACTTATATAATGTAAGAATAGAGTATCTCCATTTCCTTAATCTATGGTTTGCAGAATGTCATGAAAGCATTGGCATACACTAGGGTCTTGACTTTTGCGAGGCTTTGGTGCAGAAAAATGTTGTGAATAGCCAAATTCACATATAACGAAGTCCACCCCTACAGTATATCACTGCATAAATGACTATGGTACTGTATATAGTATGTACAGTATAGCTAAAAAGCATAAGTAAACCTTCCTTATATAACAATTGTGGTACTAATGCTTTGGCTTTAAGTTAATTAAAATAACTTTGATATACTAAAGCAAACAACAGTAATTACAAATTTACGGTAATTAGGTGGAATAAGCAACATGAATCCCTCCTCCGCATCCAGCGGATGCCTGCACTTCCCCTCTCTGCCTTCCCTGTTCTGTGATTAGCACGCTATTTGTGCTGTATCTTACTCAAAAACAGCAGAGAGTCAACACTGCACTCCTGTGACAAGGAATGCATCTGCATAATATAATTGTGTGTCTATGACAACATCCAGGGAAACTATGAAGCCTGCATTTCAATTTGTGAAATGTCATGTTGTTCTCTATGTTTTTGTATTTGTATGGAAAAGTGGATGCACTTGTGGTTATTGTTAACTCATCAAAGGTTTTTCCCCCTTGAAGATTTGCATTTAAATTTCTCATTTCACCCTCATTTTATTAATGCCTCTTGATATTCTCAGGTGTAGAAAGAAATAGCTATACCTTTTAATTATGATATCTGGTAACATCTAAAGGCAATGGCATTTTCATCACCATTTTTCTGAGAGGATATTGACTGTATTGTAGATTTAAAAAACACTTTCCTTTTTTATGCTAATACTGAAACAAAAGCATAACATGTTGCAAAATTCAGGTTTTTCAAAGGTGTTTAGAGATGTAAAGGAGACATTTTATACATAAAAACAATAGACGCGAATAACAGACAGCATACAGTAGCAAGGCCTTTTAATTGTATTGCTGGTTTAATAGAATTTTAATATTGTATTGGTTTGGGACCATGATAAACAGTTGTTAAACTAAGGATATTTGTTCAGCTAAAACATTACTTTCGTACACCATAAAACAGTTCAACAGATAAAATGGAACTGTGCCCTTTTTGTTAATTTATTCATCAATTAGAGCCAAATATGGAGGTTAATTGAAGCAGACAGTTCACACATAGACATTGGAACCACCTCTGCAACAAAATTTGAAACTCAAAAGAGGGGTCAAAAAGGAGGATAAATTATAAACATCTGAGACTTCTTTTTGGAGACTTAATTTGAGACAGAATGAATGGTGGCCTAATGTAGTATCAACTTCAAATATACTGTAGGACGTATTATGAAGCTTATCAATAATTTATTAAAAGAGAAAATGCTATTCAGTAAATTGATTATAAATGGACAGACTGCAATAGTGCTAAAAGCAACAGAAATGTAAGATTTCTACATGAACATTGACAAAAGGTTTATCCCATTATGTAATCCCCGTGCTGTTTTGTAATAATCTAAATAACAAGGGAACATTGACAGATACGATACTACATATTTATGCAAGGTTTTGTTGTGTTTTTCTGTCATGTTCACAGACAGTTCTAGTTGTAGTCCTGTCTCATAAAATAGCTCCCAAGTTCCAAAAGTATCCAAATATTGTTTGGTAACACCATCATGAAAATATAACCAATTACTAATAAGTATATGCAATTTCAAAACATAAGGTAATTCTATTGGTTTAGATCAATAAAACATTTTTAATTCTTTCACTTTTTTTTCTGAGATTGTTTCTTGATGTTTGACATTTACTGTAGCTTTCATTTTCAATTGAATTGCTGCAATAAAAATATTTTGAATGTCCTCTTATTTGAAGAGACGAATGAGACCTGTTCTGTTCCTTTATGTTTAATTCCTGTTAAATTCATGCAATGCACTGTTTTACTTCTCTACTGTCAGAACGTAGCCAGCAAAAGCTGCTAAAAGGATAAACTGGATTTGTTGTCTTATTGAGAAGGAACTGCAGTGAGGAGATAAGTTTTTTTAAACCTTTCAAAAAATTTAATTTTGTATTCATTAATAAAATCCTATGCTTAGTGTTGTAAAAACACTGGAATTAAAAGAGAGCTTCTGAAAATCCAAATAACAGACATAATATGATTTCAAATGTTCTGTGCTATTTTACAATAAATAGCTATTTTGTTGATCTGTTTTTAAAATTTAAACACTTAAAATCGTGGGTCACTGTGGTGGTCTGATCTTACATTTTAGATGCATTTTCGGATTTTATTAATATTTAACTGAAATCTGTCAAAGCTCATATCACCCACTTTGCAAAAATCAGACAATAAATTCAGTAATATTACATCATGGTTACTGACTTGGAATGAAATGCTGTCCTGAAACTCTATTGGATTATATATTAGGTTTATACTGTGTGTATGCACAATATACACAATATATTATTTAATGTGTTTGCAAAGTTAAACAATTGTAAGATATTCCAGTTTAAGGGAAGTGGACATTCACTGAGAACTGGTGAGCATTAGAAATATTTTATCTGGAAAATAATGTATTTTTGTCAAACTTCAAGGTTATACCAAAAGACATTTATGATTTACTCCAGCATAATTTACAGTGCCTTGCGAAAGTATTCGGCCCCCTTGAACTGTTCAACCTTTTGCCACATTTCAGGCTTCAAACATAAAGATATAAATTTTTTATTTTATGTGA